GGGGGAAGGACGAACCACAAACGAGTGAAGCTGCTGCCAGGGCAAGAGTGTACCAGACGTAGAACTGACCGAAAGGCGTCCGTGAAGACCGCGACCTCGGGATGACGTAGTGACACTGATGTCGGAAAAACTACCTACCTAAGCCGCCAGGACTAAAAAAGCAGAGAAAGCAGTAATGCCAAGCCGTAAAGAAGTAGGTGTAGAAAAGGCGGCGTGGGGGGGGGGGAAAGGGGAGATATCACAGATGTCGTACAGCCAAGGAGCAGCAGCCCATGCAGTCCCTTGTCTGCTGGATAGGCAGCTGAATGTGGGGGTTGGGGGTTGGGATGGGGGCATGGTTTGAAAGGGGCTAGGAGGAGTCGGGTTAAAGATCGTCCAACTACTAACTACCAACCGAAGAAGCATCCAACCGATTTTTTTTTGCAAGCGCCAAGGATTGAGGCAACACAGTGACCGCTGGGTATTTCCCCCATCATCCGTTTCTTTCAACCCAGACAATCCTCGCCAAGTTGTACCACCGGGCTTGCTATCAGGGCCTTCTCTGCCGTCGTACTTGCAGTACGGCCTCCCGCCGAACTATCGTCCCAGCAGCGGCCGCCAGCGGCCGCCGTCAGCAACCGGCTCCGCCGCGGCGTACGACAATGACAGGGATGATGGCGTCAGTGACCACGACGATGCTGACCTGGAAGCCAAAATTGTACAGCAGATTGAGTCCAATGTGCTTAAAGCGGGGGGCCCGGCGCCAGCGCCGGCGCCGCGGCAGATAGTGGGACGCGGTACGGCAGCGGCTTCGCCGGGCTCGTACTTGCCGCCGCGCGCCGGTGCCGCTTCCACTGGCGGTCTCGGAGCACCTTCGGCAACCGCGGCCAATGCCGCTGCTGTCGCCGCCGGGTCGCGGCTGGGGAAGGCAGCAGCGGCGGCAGCCGCCGCCTGCGGTGGCAGCGCCTCGTCGTCGTTGGCGAGGCGACCCGCTGGCCGATCCTCCGCCGCCGGGGATGACGATTACCCGGCAGAAAGCGAGTTTGAGGTACGGCTCCAACGCCAGATCGATAGTGACGTGGCCAACGGCGGCGGCGTCAGTGGTGGCGGCGGCGGCGCTGGCTGGCGGGGATCCAGCGGCAGCAGCCGCGGCCCAGCGGCAGCAGCGCCGCGGCTGCCGGGGTCGATCGGCACGCCGCCGGCGGTGGCGGCGGATTCCAGAGCTGTCGTTACAGTTCTCAAGCGTTCTGGCAGCGGCAGTGGCGGCGGCGGCGGCGGCGCCACATTGGCAGCGGCAGGGCCGCGGACTGGTGGCGCGAGTATGGAATCCCGACGGAATCCGCCCAGCGGGAGCGGAGGGGCCGCGGCGACCCGTCCTCCGGCTCCGAAGCTTGGCTCGACGGCGGCGGCGACGGCGACAAGCTCGAAGTCTGCTGCTGCAGCCGCCGGCAGCAAAGGTACGGCGGTGAAGGCACCTGCAGCGGCAGCAGCAGCGGCAGCAGACGGGCAGCGGATGCGGGCTAACTGGGACGCATTGGGCTGACGGCGCAGTAGGGGGGATGAAGGGGTATGTGGTGGTGATGAAGATGATGATGGCTGATGTGTTACTTGTGATGTGGGGGGTTACAGGCTTCCAAGAAGGCATAGAAGGTCACAATCTCCGCCACCATGCATTGCGTATGCGTGCGTATGTATGTATGTATGTATGTGTGCAGGGGTGTGCGTGTGCGTGCGCGTGTGCGTGTGCGGTTTGGCGGAGTTGGCTGGTGCTGCTTCTGCTGCAGCTGCAATTATAGCTGTCGCTGTTTTATGCTGGGGCTCTGCGACTATTATGGTTGGGCGGGGAACCGCTGTGTTGGGGCCAAGGACCTTTACCGTCGGGTTGCTGCAGATGCGGCGCGGAGTCATTAACGAATAGCTGCTTCCTAGGCGCAAGACTAAAGAAATGCATAAATAAGGTCGCGCCAAAGAAGTTGCAAAGGGTATGCGCTTTATTGTACGCTTGGGAAACTGTTGTTTGACGGATTCGTTTGTCCGGATGCACGAGTATCGTACGTTGGTATACCCTTTGCGCTCTGAGATGAGCACACAGCATTTGGGTGGGCGCAACTTCAGCGCTCTTGGCACACGTGGTGTGTTCCAAAGGCGCCGTTCCCTCGTCATGCGCATTCCGGCTTTACGAAGCCTTGGATGAATTTCTGCGAATGTCCATCCCGCAGAGGAGTTTGTCACTCGCGGCGCACTTAGCAGGCCCCGCGGCCGCATTTTACTGTACATGTGTTCAGCAGTCCCTCCGTAGCTCTGGGAATGGACGTGCTCAACGTGCGACGTCGGCTGTAACGTTACCATCGAAAATAGCACCATCCTTGACTAAGGAGGAAACCCAGAGCAGGAGGATGGCTTCTGTCCTCACGAAGCGCCTGACATGGTATGAAGTAAAGCAATTGGTGGATCGAGGGAAAACCACTGACGTTGAGGTGCTCGGGTTATTGCGCCGGAGTGAAGCAGACCTCATGGCGTATCGCGAACATCGAGCGAAGGTACTGGAAAAGCACGTATCGTTAACTGATTGGCTTCGGGCAAGGTTGTTCGGCGCGCCGACCGTCATCAGGCCAGATGGCAAACTGGCCGTTGCCGCTTCCGACCCCACAGCTTCGAAACGTTACATCTTGGTAGGGATTTCGAACTTCATACTTTAGGTAGCTGGATTTCGAAGACAGACCAAAAAATGTCTGGCCTACTCTTTCGCCCTTGCCCAGGTGATGACAAACGAGTTTCCATATTACGTTGAGGAAGACATGTCGCATCTGAACATCTGGTGCAGCAATGGGGCTCTTAGCGACGAGATTGTTGAGCAGCTCATATCGGAGCGACTTCCAACTGCGACAGCCGAGTATGTGTGGTATGTCAACCCTCCCCAGTATCAGTCCATCAAGACGGTGCGTGAATTCAGGTCAACCGGGATGGTTCGCGTGGCAAGGCGGCTCCTGCCGATGTGCAAATGAGCCTGGGGGGTGGGAGGGCTTTATCATAGCCGCGGTATATTCGAGTGGTGGCAATACTCTTTACAAACAAATATGCTTGTAACTTTGCAGATATGGCATTGCCATGTGTTTGTGCGGAACCTCAAGTCAACGGCAAGCGTGGCTAAACCCGGTGCGTCGATCCGGCATCATCCAGCACCGGAGCTCCCTGGCTGTGTGCACTGTTCTGCATAAGGTATCATAAACGTCCGTGGCCGCGGCTTGACCTATCGATTGTACTTATCCTGGACGTGTCAGGTGAGGCGGAGCTTTTGGAGTGAACACATGACACCATCGTCGAGTTGGTGTAGCGCCGTTGCTCCCCAGCTTCGCCGAAAAGGTCCAACGTTGCCTGGTTGTCAACGAAACCCAAGGCTGACCACCCAGATTTGGGGAAAAGAAGACCCATATCCAGCCTCACTGCTGTCACCAACGCGACGCGGTTCGCATATGACTGGCAGGGGTTTGCAAAGGCGAGTCATCAGTTACTAGATTCCCCGTTTTGGAACATGTCACGGATGTGAGAGACAATGACAGCGCTTAAGCAGGAGACCATGCTGGGATTGTGTATCTGCGTAGTACGAGTACGAACCTTGCGAGCCTGAAATGCGTAATTACCGGTGACTTCGGACCAAAACTATGGCTATTCTGGTTACAACCTTATACATGGATTTATTTGTTTCCGTGCATCGCTATAACTTGTAAAGTCTCTGGTATTGCGTGTTTGGCTTTCTCCGAGAACTTTCATCTGAGGATCGTCACCGAATTACCTGGATATCCTTGCACTTCCCGTGTAACTTTTAAGAAGGTAAGGCTTCTCTGCTTTTTTCTGTCCACGAGAAGTTGTTTGCGCCTGGCACTCCGGGGGACCAAACAGGCATACGAACATGAATGTGTGTCTGCACCCAGAGGCATCAACATGGCAGCACCCCACAAGTCACACGAGAACACCACCATTATACCTGGCGTATCGATGGTGAGGTAAAAAGATACAGGCGGGTGTCATAATTCTTTCGCGAAATTGTGTTTCCGCTTTCTTGAACCGTCATTCCTCACATCCTACGCAGAACATGTCGGTGAAAATCGGACGCAACGCAGCCGAGCTGGCAAAGCCCTGCTTCACTGCGGGCACGTCAAGGGTGTCGCGGTCGCGAGCGTTAGGGCTCCGCAATAGGCGGAAAGCTGTGAACCCGAAATCACCCCCAAGCCCCAACCAGGAAAGTGCGGTTAATACCCGCACGGGCAAGGTTGCTTTTGGACCTTGGTGAGTGACGTGGCGTTCCTATTTGTGCGTGTGTGGGTGACACTTCACTCATTCCATTTTCTGCTCGATCGCATGCGGACAGCATCACCTCCTGAAATGCTGTGTTTACTTTTTTTAAACCTTATGCTTTTAATCAAGAGGGATTCCGCACATACATATATATGCACGGTATAGCACCTTCAACCTTCCATTCGAAAGGACTGCTAGAGTCAGCCTACAAAACAGACGAATTGACAACCATGATAAAATAACTGCTGCACTTCGTTGTCCTCGCGTCGTACTGTGACATTCTCCGGAATGGTGCCCCGCTTTGCGTGCCTGCCTCTTATCCTCGGTTTTCCTTCTGCACCGCCACCTGCAGCACCCGTGTGTTACACTTCCCCCCGAACCCGTGTGCGCGCTCTCATTAAGCAGGATGGGACCCTACGAGACTCACGTCGATACTGCCGCCGCCGGGCCACCGATTTTCCTTGACCCCAACGGCAACACGCATGCATCCCTCCATGCACCGGAGTCGCAGCCGCCGCCCGTGGACCCCAAGGGCGCCGAGCCGCTGCCGCAGCAGGAGCAGGAGCAGGCTCCGGAGTCGCAGCCGCAACAAACGACCCCAGAAACGAAGCCGCAGCCTGCGCGGTTTGTCAAGGCAGCCGCTGTGCCGACAACTCGGGAGCTGTATGCCATCGTCGCCAAGGTGACGCAGCGGAATGCTATGATGGCGGCGGCACAGGCGCGCCCCTTGTCGCAGTGGCTGGGAGGGGCCCGCGGGAAGCCCCATGGTAGCGGCCGTTGTGGGAACATCATGGCGCGAAGCATCAACCAGCCACGCAGGTCGTAAAACAGGCTTTGCATGGCGCTGCGCTACTACACTTCTTTGCTCGCGTAGAGGAGAGGACATGTATGCTTTGATGGAAGTTTGCGCAAGTGCGTTTTTAGTTACGTGGTGTTTGGGATTCGGTGTTTTTGGATGTTCCGCGTGATTCGAGGGGCAGCGTGCGGGGACAGTGGATTTCCATTTTCCCTCCTTGCTTAGCTTCCTTTCGGCTTTAGCTACCGCGCTTATAACAATTTTGTTTGGTGTCTATTTGAGGTGACTTTGCACGCAGCAGCAGCAGGTATCTCCTATCGGCAGCTGGGATAGCTGGGATGAATGAATGTCCCTATTTTGGGGGTTTAGCGTTTTCTTGCTGCTGCGGGGGTTGGTAACGTTTTTCTCGAATTGCGGCGTGCACAGGACTTCAAGGATCATTTTGGCATATCGAGCGGCGTTTGAAGACGCGGTTGTTGGTCTATATTTCCCCCGCTTCTTTAGATTGGCACGTTTGGGTCATCAAGTAGATAATATTTCCTCTGAAAGAAAGAAAGAATTACTTTTAGGTCGGTTGCAAGTCGTTTGTTGTTTGGTAAAAAGAAGTTGCTATCTGAAATTGCATGGCATGTGTACGGCCACCACCAGATGCTAATTACCTGTACGACATGTATGGATGTGGAGGGCCTGTGGGGCTGTGCTAAGCTTATAGATGGCTGAAATGCTGTTTGACTGCGTTCAAGTTTTTTGGGACTCATCTCTCACCTCACCGGAGACGTGAGAGGTTCCCATATGGTTTCAAGTTTGAGAGGAAAGCCCTGCTGTTTTTATGTACATTATTCCTTCATGTGTGCGGTGCAGTACGTACGACTCGCGCGCATGGCGTTATGACGTGTTCGCCACGTTCGATTTGGCAGCAAGAAAAGTCGCAACGGAGGCTAACTGCTGCGGCAAGTCGTTCGTCAGTCGTGCTCACTGTTTTATCGCCTGTGTACAATAAAATTGTTACGATAAGAGCTGCCTAGGGTTTGGACAGGATGACGACACAGGTGCTCATGATGGTGAGACATTTTGGTGAGACGTTTGTCGGCCGGACCGGACGGTCAGTCAACACGTATACTGGAATGATCACAGCCATCAGGGCGGAAGAAGGGGGGAAGACGGCGGCAGCGGTGGACTACGGTACCTAACCCAGACTTGCAAAGAAACTGTAAAAAGATACATATCTCCTCCTACCGTATATTACACAGCGGCCCCCCAATCATACTTGGCATTCCTCAGTCAGCGTGTGCAGGTCCGATACCGCTGATTGCCACTTCCCCAGAGGAGGAGAACAGTGAACAAGAAGACGCATTATTGGGGGTGTTAACGGTCGCACGGTTGCGATGGTGCGAGACTGTGTTGGTGTGGCACGTAGCAACGCACTACGGCGCTGCGAAGCTTTAGATATTTAGTCAGCAGCAGACACAGGCACGTTGACCCGTTGTACTACCTCCTCTCCCCCCCGCCCCTTCTTCCCACACGACACGGGTACACACATACATACATACATACATACATACATACATACATACATACATACATACACACACATGTCCAAGCCAAAGTCACATCGTCCACCCGTTCATCAGCTTTTCGCGCCTAGGAAAAAAACTAGAATTGGCTCTGATGAAACCAAAGTCTCGTCTATGGTCCGTGGTCCGTGGGTCCCTGGCCTAATAATCGCCAGCGCTCAACCTTTGCCTAGTCTTGTGTACGGAAGGTGTCGTACACAAGGCGTGTACTCAAATGCATCATGCTTCAGGTGCAGAAAAAAACACAGCTGTCTTTCTTTAGTCCTCGGCTATTGTGCAGACTTGCACGAGAATATAGCACACAAAAACACGCACAACATGTGAGACAGAATGAAACGACTTTCTGGTAGTTAGTTTCTGCTAATTATAAAACGCGTGGCGATGTTGCAATATCAACCGTCAACCACCGCTGTTCGTCGCTCTGCACTCCTCCTAACCCCCACCCCACCCCCACTCCTCCTAACCCCCACCCCATCCAAACAGAGGGAAGCTCGACGCCCTTCCTGAGCACTTCACCCCACCACCTAGCCATCACACACACACACAGACATACACACAAACACTTACATTAACCATCTTCCAAGCCCACATCTTCGTGCAGCGTCACTCGATCCCAAAAGCGAAAGCTAATTAGCATTTTTCACGTGCGGGGGCGAAGGCCTGAAGAGTTACCACCACCACCACCACCACCACCAATCAACGCGACGGCCGAGAAATGATGACTGGCGGCTGCGAATGCATCCGTCCCAATCTAGGCACTGGCCGGGCCCAATCCGGCGCCCGTTAAGACAATCAACACCCAGTCAAGACCCACCCACCAACCCGCCGCCCGCAGTCAAGAATTCAAAAAACACTGTCAGCAATAGCCCAACAGCGCACCGTCGTCCAATCATCATCATCAGCAGCAGCAGCAGCAGCAGCAGCAGCAGCGTCTCATGTTTTTCTGTTTGTGCGCGAAGCAGGTCGTCTACCGGTACCGTTCCATGAGGAGTATACTATAATGAAGTTCCAGGAGGGGGGTCGGCGATGTGGCCGAATGGCGGCCCTGACCGCTGCTCAGTTATCTGTGTTGCGATGTGCTGAGAGGTGCTGTGCCCCCAAGTGAGCGTCCTTAGCGCCCGGATATAAACAACGTATCCGGGCGCGCTGTGAAGTTAAAAGAAGAGGAGGCGGAAAGGTGGACGCGGAGGTGGAGGTGGAGGTGGAGGAGGGGGCCGCGACGGAGGCGGCTCCGCATCAAGGGCCACCCCGCACCGTGCCGTTTGCCCCTGGGTAGTCAGTCGGCCAGTGAGCAGCTGTCCGTTCTCTGACACGCTTTCGCACGCGTAACTACTTTGCTGTCAAAATCTGGAAGAATAAATTGAGAAAAAAAAGGTGATCACCACGCTGCATCGCCTTTCGTGTGCGGAAGGTGGTTCCCCCCCTTCCGCCCGCAGCAGCCTCTTGGGTCACCGCCTCCCTGGCCCACCGCCATCTTGTGGTCCGGGTCCCGTAGCCGCCAACGCCGCACTGCTGCCGCCTCCACTACTGCCGCCTCCTACCGCCCCAACCACCAAACTGACCACCCCCGGCTGCCCTGCGGCTGCCGGCTGCTGCTGCTGGTGATGCTGATGATGGCCTTGACCTTGATTTTGACCTTGATTTTGACCTTGATTTTGACCTTGAACCACAGCAAATGAGCTGGATGACGAGCCTGATGAGTAGCCTGAAGCTGAGCCCGGCGCCGCCGCTACTGCTGCCCCAGCTGCTGTGGCCGCTGTGGCAATTGCAGGTCCTCCTCCTCCTCCGAGTCCCCCCGTTGCTGCTCCTCTATCACCTCCCCCGGCGGATGCTGTTATCAATGGCGCGGGTGCACCTCCCCCCCCCGCCCCCACCTGTCCCATCACTGCCGTCGCTAGTGGCCCCAAATTGAGCTGGTGCAAAGGCAGCTGATCGAGCAGGGACCCCTCCACCACCACACGGCTCTTGAAGTCCTCGAACTCCTTTTTAATGGTGCGGATGGTGGCGCCCAGCAGCTGCCGGTGCTCGTCGCTGCGCTGAAGTTGCTCTCTACGTTGTGATGTGATGTGCACACGTAGGAGGCAGGGAGGAACAGATCCAGAAGAAAAAAAGTTGGGGGGGGGGGTGAAGGTAAAATGAATGGCGGTGTAAGGAGTTGTTTTCTAGGGGCTGCTCTCGCTGCTCCTCACTAATACACAATCTGGAGTAATAATAAATATATAATTTATAGTCCTGATTATGTAAATTACTCAGGAGATACACCCAAACTCCCAAGGCCCTCGCCCACATTCCACAGGTCTCCACGATCCTCATATGATCCGTTTGTTCGACTCCTAAGTGGCACAGAGCGCTTACTTGAGGTGGTGGTTGGTCGCCTCCAGCCCGCGAACCCGCTCCTTCAGCATCGCCAGCTCCTCGTTCTGCGGCCCGCACACGAGTGGTCGTCATGGTGGCGGTGGCGGTGGTGGTGGTGGTATTGGCGGTGGCGGTGGCGGTGGTGGTGGTGGTATTGGCGGTGGTGGTGGTGGTGGTGGTGGTGGTGGTATTGGCGGTGGTGGTGGCGGTGGGGGTGGTGGTGGTGGTATTGGCGGTGGTGGTGGTGGTTGGTTTCAGGTTCCCACGCCGCAGCCCACCGCAGCGCACAGGTCCACAAAAGGAGGTAGATCAGAGGGCAGTGTCCACGTCATGGGACACAATACAACAGGAGCAGCATAAGCAGCACAAGCAGTAAGAGGAGCAAGAGGAGGCGGAGGTCAGAAGCTCTAACAATGGAAAATAAAGACCACCGGAACTACAAGCCGAACTCTGTGGCCGGAAGGCGCTGTGTTATGAAGGTTATGAAGGAGGAAGGTGGGAATGTAACCGATTCCCCCAGGTCCCCCCCGGGGTCCTCGCTCCCTCCCGCGTTCTGTGTCCCATCGGGGCGGTAGGACAGGGGCCGATGGGCCCCCCAACCCCCCAGGTGAAGTTAAAGGCCCGTCCACCGCCCCCCCCCCCCAGCAGGTTCCCGCCGCCCCCACCTGCTTTGAGAACCTCTCCGCGTGTTGTCTGGCTTCTGCTGCGTGTTGGGCGGACTCTCGAAGGGCCCCCTCCAGCAAGGCGGTCAACTGGG